CTAAGTTTTCCAAGCACCCAAAACATTGTGAAGAATACGGATTACCGATCCAGGTGGACTAGAACTGGAAAATTGCAAATACATGTACTGAGAGTCCTGTAACTCATGATATGGATATGTTAGGTACAATTGGTTATGTAATCTACCTTTCTGCCCAATTTGTTAATCCCATGATGCTCCAGTTCAAGTGTGGAAAACATTTAATGGAGTTTCAGTAAGCTGCATGCAACAGATGTAAAAGCTTTCTGAACACATTTTGAAATTTTAATCACCAAATATCAAAACTGACAAATTAACTTCTAAACTGACAAGCTAAAATTTAAAATTTTTTTAGAAACATATTTGTAAAAGATGGCATACTGCATGTATTGTCCATGGGTCCCCGTCATTTCAATCCACGAGACGCAAGATTGCATCTAATTCCTTTCGTTCATACTTCAACCTTTTTGCTGTCTTTTGTCCTTTTGGAATTTCTCGTCACACAGGTATTATAAGGCTAGAGTGTAGCAGTAACAAGTGTTCCAGTAACACCTACATGTTGTCCCTGTTAATGTCCCAACTACAGCGTCAGTCCCAACTACTACAGTTATGTTGGACAACTGCAGCACCGAGGTCCAATGTTGTCAATTGCAGGCAGTACATGTGCCACGGCACTTACCAAAGTCATTTTGTTTTCATCAACAACTTGCGCTTGGAAAAGCAAGCTTTATTACAGTACAAAGTAGTGCTATGCACGCAGCTCAGCGGTACCCCCAGAACTGTGGGGTCCAACATCGGCTCCTCTCTGTTCGTAGGAGAGGAGTGGACGTCGGACCCCACAACTGGGGGTAGAGCGCAGAGGAGCTGCATGAACTTGAAAGAGCTTGAGAAATATCATATAAAAATTTGCTAACAGTTGAGCCAGCCCAACTGCAGAACTATGCCGGTAATTGGAACAAATGCTACCGTTGCGTTGGGCATAATGTCAACATGGCATACCCTGGGCTGGCCATAGGGCCTAGGCCACAATTGAATGAATGTCATTTTATTTACAGTGCAGTCTCTGGCAGTAGGCCTATCAAATGAAAATAAGAAACGAACGACGCGACCAGACACCATATTATTCCCAAAATCACCAACTTGGGAACCTCACCCAATAACACAGACTATCAAAGAATATTTTTTGTATAATATATATCGAAATTTACTTACCTAGGGTAAAATCGAAAGCGAAATGTGACTGGTGGGTGCATCGAATATCGTGGCTCTTTTTGGGAAACAGATGTCACACATTGCCAACATGAGACGCTTGAGGGCGCTCGGTATTTATGGAATAGTGGGCGGAGTTTAACCACAGACATCGACTAAAAATATTCACGTACGTGGCTCAACGCTGCCAGTTTGAAAATATATTTCACGGATGATCTAACACCCCCCCCCCCTATTTCATCTAGTTACATGTACTTCTTCTGAGACTGAATTTTGCACATCGTCACTCATGGTTTTCAGGAAATAACAGCGATTACAGCTTTCTTTTACAACATTACGGCAGCGACTGACCGCGGGTCAGTTCCGCCAACCGGCGCATCATGGACCGTACGGCACGGTCACGCTAGGGGAAGGAGGGGTGCTTGTGTCCCTGCCCCCCAAAAGAAAATTGAAAAATAAAAATAACTGAACTACTAACAAAATGAGTGGAGGGCGAAAGAAATCAAAAATAGAGAAAAAAGGGGGTGAAAATCATCAATATGCTTGTAGACAAACCTCCAAAATTCGCACCCGGCCGATCGCTGTTAATCTATTTTAATTAGCTGATCTGTTTTGTCCTTCTGGTAATCACCCATTCGTTTGAAAAGCCCCCCCCCAAAAAAATGACTGTTGCAACGCCCATGATCGTACATTAATTATCTCCTTAAACCAAACTTGCAACGCCGGAATATGTCTCGTAAAACCACAGATCGTAAAAACGAACTCACTCAGTCACGGTGAGGGCTGCACGTCTTATTACTCGAGATAACAGTAGGACCAGCGCTGTCTCAACTAGTATGCACCTCGGGTAACTTTTTACAACCGTTCTCCTTGCGCAGAAGACAGCACCGCGGCCTTCTAAGCATAAAATCATGTAACTTGGTCTACGAGAACCCCCCCATCACGCACACAAATGACCGTCCGGAGTTGCAAAGCTAAACTAACAAGTCATACCACAATCAATCCCATCTTCATTCGTTTTTCCATCAGAGATAAGACTGAGAATGGAAGGACTTGCCAGAACATCACCTTGATACGTACGGAGGCAATATACAGCTAGAGATTACCGTCCCCGCGTTGCAAAGTTATTTGCAGTTAGAATGAGCATCCCCCAGTTCTTGGCGATGCTCGAGTTGAACTATTCAGAGTATTCATCCAGATCCAAAGAAAACTTAATACTTGTAAAAACCCCGACTTCGGGAAAAATACGGCATCTCAACATGAAAACAAACTCGAACTTGCCAGTGGGGGGGGGGAGACTCGAGTAAAAACAAACTCCGACGGGAAAACAAACTACTAGGCCTACTATACTTCGGAAAATGTATACTCGACGACTCATGTGGACGTTTGTTTTATCATATGGTTTCATAAGGGGCTTCGTTTTAATTAGATATATTTTAACACTCAACCACTTTTTTTTAGTATACCCATGGAAGAATGTTTCCAAGAGATGGTGTCATGTTGAAATTTGACTCTGGATTTTTTGTCCTGAGTTAAAGATTTCATCATTTCATGATATTCTTCTTCGTTTGGTGAATTCAATTTGTTCTACAGAAGCTGTTTCCAGAAGACTCGAAACACAGCTGGGTTTTGTTGCACGTGACTGCTCAATCACGCTTTATTGTCACATGACGATTGTGAAGCCACCTGCCAGTAACTGTTTCATGCCAAAAGAATATATTAAAAAAACAGCCGCCGGAAAACTTCACCGAA